GTGGAGGACCTGTGCAACGTTTTCAAGAGGTTAGTGTTTCTAATTTCCGAATTATATCATTATCTAGTTTATATGTTTGTGATACCTGCTTTGTATGCTTGATTCCGTTACACATGTTTTAACAGATTTACTATTGTATATTGCTAAACAATATACATTTATTTTCGTTACACTTTCCAATTAAATACACTCTTCCTGTTAATAAAGTGCCGGCCAGCCTTAAAGATTGTCCACTGTTACCCCCTGGCCCCTCAAATAAATTATCCTGTAACTAAATTAAACGATCTCGTGAACAAATTAATAGGCCGGTTAATTTAGATACATAACTTAAAAGCCAAATATATAAGCAATCCTAAACTTGTCCGATTTTCCTATTAGACATTACAACCTTAACAAATATGCACGTAGTAACACACAAAATGACAATCAATCCAAAAAATATAGTGGGCTAACTCACACACGGATGTTGTAGTGGAGGGACGAATGAAAAGATCATATGTGGCATTTGCACTGAAAATAATTTCATAAGATTTCAAATTATGCGTTTTTTTTTTTATTTGGTTACTCTTTCAGTGGTATCAATAATCAAATATACTATGAAGAAAGTGATAAATCCCTAGTCTCTCAAAAGTAAGGGGAGAATTTCATAAAAGTACAACTGAACAAAATACATTTCAACCGCTTAAGCCCAAAACAATATCTTCATCGGATGGCCCAATAAATGTTAACAAATAAGTTCTTTTTCTAGCAATATGATATCATTCACATGGTATGGCAATTTTTTTTTACACCTTTTCCCTCCCTCCCTCCCCCCACATCTCCCGAATTCCCCCCACAAAACTTTTGTCCATGTCTTTGTTTCTTTTTCTTCCCCAACTTAAATACCAACAAATTATGTATTAAAAAAAAATATTTCTCCTATTTTCTCTTTTTCTTATGGCAAAACATGATTTTTCAATAAAATATTTCAATCTTCTAGTACTCTTTTAAGTGGTGAATCATTTGGGTTTTCACATATCAAAATTGTCAGTCAAATTTTAGATTAAAAGTGAAACTTTATGTGCAATTGCTGAAGCAATCCAACAAGATAAACGAAAAATCAAAACTTGGTAAAAGAATTGTAGAATCCCTCTAGCGCATATAAAAACTTTTTCATATTGCCCATAACAAAAAAGAAAAAGAAGAGAAGAAAGTGTCAAACTTCCATGGAGGCCTCTTATGCACTCACATTGTATCTAGATCCTTGTAAACTAAAAAATATATAATTATACAGCATTATACATAAATATACACAGTTATACACAAGTATACAACACTATATGATTATATATAAACACTAGTTATACAATATTTTCACTAGAAAACACATTAAGTCCAACACTACAATAACTGTAAACAATATATCAACTTGTATATGTATAATAATGTATACGAGGTATTTATACATTCATATACATAATTATACAGTGTCGATACAAACTGCTACATAGTTATGATTTTTTATTCTAACTTCGAGTTGTAGCAGCAGGTATTACAACTTTATGCGACCGATTCCGAATTTAATACCCAGACAAGCTAAGATACATCCAGTTTCAGATCCGAGACTTCAAGGTTGTAACAATACTGATCCGAATTTCAAACTTCAAAATCTTCCAAAATTAGTAGTTATTTGTCGGCGCAAATCAAGTTTGAGAGCTAAAGATTTCAGATATGCATGGGTTCTCGGCGCAAACTGATGGCTGTTGACTATACCTACCAACATCTACTAGTTATTATAGTTTCCTAAAGAAAAAGGAAAAAGAAAGTAGTACCTGGCGGATCTTTGACTGCAGATATATTTGGATCGTGAAACTAAACTATACTTTTAAAGCAAAAGGTAAGGACAGAATACGATTACAAGTAATTGCCACGACCTTCTTCTTATCTATCTTGAATGATTTTATTTTTCCGAACATCCATGTGGATGTTGAATATATTATTTAGTAGTAGTGCTGCCCTTATTCCGTTTGTATTTCATTTTGATCCCTAAAGAAAGGATTTACGATGGCTTTACCCCTACTAATATTTCCTTTGACACTTAACTTCAATAACCAAAGTGAGAATGATAAAGTTTCTAAAATGACCTTGTTTGCAATAAATTTTTAAAGTATGGAAAATAAACAGCAATAACAAAAAAAAAATGAGGAAAAGTAATTTTATTAATCAATCGTGAGTCTTTGTGAGTTTGTTTGTTTTCTTGATTCTTCTCTCTAATTGTTCTCCGTGATTTGAGAGTTTAAGCAGCGTACTTCTCAAACGTAAGATAATGTGGACTTCCTTGGGATATATTTGATCTCCGTGAAAAGGAAGAACATTTCTTGCTCACTTTGGTAGCTTTGAAAAAGACAACACTTGATGTCTTTGATCCATTTATGCATAGTCTATGTATTTATGAAATTTCGAAATAACTTCTTTATGAATATCCCAATAGTTTATGAAATTTTTGAGATGCTTCCAAATGGAATATGTGTGACCCCATTTATATGTGTAGCTAGAGTTTAGGGTAAGTTAGCCATCAAGCATTAATCCCAATGGTATAAACAACATAAATATGGGAATTTTTATCTATCTATATCCTATTACAAACTTATTTACCCTTCCTAAAGGGTTATCACTTAATTATATTAACATATATAATTTACTATTTATATATAAAATAATATATTAGACTCCAATCTTATTTATTTTATCTCACTTTTCTTCCTCCCCATTCCACCCAAGAGAAAATAAACAATATATTTTCGTCCAAAAATTGATCGTTACATGTGCCAAGAAACTTTTCCCTCCACCAAGTCCTAAAAGGTGTAAAAGCCAAGTGAAAAGTGCTATGCAATTGAATATGGCAGCTAGGAAATCTTAGTACCTACGAATGAAATTTTTGGCATTTATTATCTTAAAGAATGTAGTGCTGAATTTGGATTAGAAATGTTCTACGTTCTCCAATTCATACACAGAGAACAAAGATGGGCAGGAGAGCGTGTACCATGGTTAATTAAATTTTTTTTTTTGCCGTCATTAAAAAGTTTTGAAACTTTAAATTCAAAACTTAAATTTTGGGGAATTATTATTTGTTTGGAATGAGTGTTGTTATAAATGATTAAAAATATCCTTTGGAGTTTATATCTCAATTTTGAGAGAATTTAGTGAAGATTCGAAGTGGTTTTGGTTAGAATTTCATAGTGAAACTCGAAGAAGAAAAAAACATAAATAAATTGTATATATTTTGTATGTCGGGTGTAGAAATGGTATACAAAATATTAACTAACATAATTGTATACAAGTTGCATATAAATTGTATGTAAATTGTAATGTTTTACTAGATTCTGCACACAAAAAAATTGTGTTTAGTTGTAGGAAAATTGTAGTTTTTTATCGAATTTTGTATATAATTTGTAAAAAAAAATTAGTTACTTTGTATAAATAAGAAAACTTAGATAAATAAGTTCAAAATTTCGTACACATACGAAAAAATCCCAAGAGTAATTCATTGATAGAAAACATCCTTCTACTAAGTAATATTTAAATATATTGCTTTTCAACGTGAAAATGTAACTAAAAGAGACACATCTAATCTCACATATATAACGCTTCATTTGACCTATGCGAAAATCAGAACAATGAGCTTAAAATTATGAATACTCTATTATTCTCTCATATATGTTACTCATCAATTCTTTGCGCTACTGCAAGAAAATACTCTTCCAATTTTATTAGGTAAAACTTAAAATTGACGATGATCATTTCCAATTTTATGCAAGAACTGACTTATCTAATTGACAAACTTAAAGAGACTAGTTTGGTCAGTTTCTCGTATATATGAGAAACATTTTTGCTTTCAATAATATAATACCTAAAGGCAAAAATTTATCTGCACTCATCGTTTACGTCAACTTATACTATTTATCTGCGCCCGTCGTTTACAGGTTATTGAGAGCACTTGCTGGAGATTTCTATGGACAATAGGGATAGAGATGACTATTGCTTGGAACTTACCAAAAAACACTATAAGTGCGTAAATTGAGAAATTATCGTCTATGCCCATTTATAAGTAGTTTATTATAAAAATTAATCAATTCATAAAATAATATCATACAATATTAGCCAATTAGCTATTTGTAAGAAAAAAATTTAAGTTTTTATTTTCTTTTGAGTGGATGTTATTAGAATAGATTGGGTACAAGTTTGAATCTCAGTTTTGGGATAATTTGATGGAGTTTTGATGTTGTTTGAATTGAAAATTCGAAATAGAAGATGAACATGAAAATAATGGTATGTGTATCACACTGTGTATCATTTGTGTATCACATATATATCATATTTGTATCAAATATGTATCACATGTATATCCATGTATACCTCTGTGTGTGATACGAATTTTTTGAATTCGATTTAACTACGAATTTTGATCAATACAAATCACCTCCAATCTACCTCAAATTTTATATATTGACTAATCTATATATTTTTAATGAGTTTCAACCATACCTATTGAAAATGATCCTTTTTGCTTAAATTTTTGGAATCTTGTAGTATATATATTTTTTGTATTTTATCTCCTTGTTTGTTACCTCATTAATGAAATTTTCTTTGCGTCTTGCATTTAATGTTGTTGATCACGCTTAAAAATATGAAAGGAAATATTTGCATGTGATTCTTGGAGAGAAAGAATCTTATTTATTTAGGTTTTTAATTGTTATATGTACTTGGCTAGTTTTGGTAAGTGTATCTAGAGGTTTTGTGAGTTAGAACTTATTTGGAACATTGACGTAAGATTCCCTAAATTTTTACCATAACAAAATATATCAATTTTAATCATCGCAAGCCCAACTGGGTTAAATTATCATAATAAATACTAAGGAGGCAAAATTTAGTATCTTTCAAATTCCAATGGTGCAAAGTAAAATGGAGTCAAATATTGATCTTGTCATCTTATAAATCATCATATATTTTTTATAAATAATAAAAGTTCCAATTTCCATATGGAATCTCACTGACGATGACGCCTAAACCTCGGTTTTGACCTCTTCGTCTCTCCTCCTCAATTCCAACACTCCATTAAAGCTTCTCTCTCTCTCTCCCTCTCTCTCACACACACACACAAAGAGACACTACAATGGCTCTGTTCTTCTCAAAATCAAGAAAGTTGATCTGTTTGAAACCCAAGATGGGTTTTTTGGGTTCACATTCTGTTCATTATCATCATACACTTACATCGCCAAATCTGAGAAACCCATTAGGAATTCTTGGTTACGGTTCTGCACACTTCGCGTCTCGCCGTTTCGAATCAACCAAAGCTGAAACACAGCTGAATCACATGCAGAACATTGACAATAATTCCCAGGTATATACTTCTAATATATGTTTACTTCTTTTCCGCTCTTATTTTATCCTAATGTACATATCTGACTTGCTTAAAGTTTCTTCCTTTCAACTTTGATTAATCATCCTTTGAATATTCTCTATTCTTATTTACAATTACAATACTTAATTATTGTCTTTCAGAAATTCTTTTTTATAATAGGTGACAATGGGACTCGAATCACTCTCTCTCTATATATATATATATATTGATGTCTATTTGGATACCATTTAAAGTTACATGACCATTTTATCTAAATTCTATTAGAGAAAATATATCTTTTATTAATTTAATAATTGTCTTCAACTCATGTTTGTCGTTAGCTTGATGCTACCTTGTTTGGGATATATCTTCTTGTTCTTATCTTTTTGTATGTGCCGTGTCGTGCGAGAATGGGAGATAACTTAAAATTGTGGCTGCTAGAGCTTCATTAGACACCCATTTTGTTGTTTCTCCTAATAGCAACAGTATAAGGTTTGTTCAGAATCATATGAACTACTCCCTCCTTTGTAGTTATGTATCTTACTTTCCTTCTTAAAAAGAATATAATTTTTTATATTTAGCAAATTTTTTAACTCCAACAACTCATATGACATGACAAGATTCAATGATATTTTGATACATTATAATATCTTTAATTTAAAATCAGAAAATTCAAAAGTTTTTCTTATTTTTCTTAAATTTCGGGTGCAGTCAAACTAAAACACATGAAATAAAACCTAGGGAGTAATTAATATTGGTTCATTTAGGTGCTGAGTTGGCTTATCTTGTAAAAAGAACGAGAAAATTTAAGGACTGTTTTGGAATATTTTTTTATCTGCAAATAGTTTTCTGGAAAGTAACTGTTGCACCTAACCTCAAGAAAATGGAAAAACGTGGTTGGGTGCACCGTGCACGTCTCTTTTTGAATAAGAGATAAATAGTAGTGTCCTTCACATTTAGCTCATTAAAGAATGATTAATTTCACAACAATAATAAAGTCATAAAAAATTTTATCTCATTAAAGTAATTTAAGTTTATCTATTATATTAGTAAAATTGTAAAACTAGTTTTCTTTATATTAAAGTAACTGAATTTTGCTCATTATAACATTAAAGTCAATAATAAATATTACCCCACTATAACAACAAAACCTACCCACTAAGGTGTCTTTAATATTATGGTGGATAAATTTTTATGACTTTACTATTATATATTGGATAAAGTTTTGTAACTTTAATGAGAAATTGTGACTTTGATATTATAGTGGAAAATGTCCTGTTACTTTAATGTGAGAAAAAAATAATTATGTAACTTTACCATTATAATCAATAAAGATTAATGACTATACGTGAAATTAACCTCATACAATAACGCTACTTTCTTCTTCTGAACATGACACTTCTTGACTAGCCAACACTCGGCTCCATACAACATAGCCGGTCTAATTATCACGCTGTAGAACTTGCCCTTGAGACTTGGCGGTACATTTCTCCAAGAGGATGAGTAACATACTCGTCAATCTCCCCATTACCTTGTCTTACAGACCTAAGGTATTTAAAACTATCTCTCTTGGGGATGAGTTTTGTATCAAGCTTCACGTCCACTTCTGCTTCATGCTTCCCAACACTGAATTTGCACTCCAAGTATTCTGTTTTCATTCTACTTAACTTGAAACCTTTAGACTCCAGGATCTGTCTCCGGTGTAAAGAGTGGAAGAGAGTCCTACAAACCGTTTACTAGTAAAAGACTAATGATGTAGTTGGAGAGATTTTGTGCTTTATTATTCTCTAATACATGAACTTATAGACCTTAACAAGTTAACTACGTCAACTAAGATTGAATTCTAAATTAGTTGGGGTCGGCTAGATGAATTATATGAATCCATTCTGCTCCGTTTGGGTCCATTTCATTCCAATACTAAACAATTTGTCTTAAAAAATAAATAGGAGTTAGCCAAATCTAGAGCAACTAAATCTCACATGTATATGAGTCATCTATAGGTGTTAACAAGTACTTACATGCAGTGTTATTAAAGGCGAAAAGCGCAAAAAAGCTCTAACGTCTGTTAGGGCTTTAAGTGCAAAGCACAAATAAAGTGTGGGTTTTAATGAAAAAAGGTGCAAATGGAGAAAAATAACAAATATGTATGTGTAGTCCAAGACTAATATCTATAAGCATGAATACAAAATATATGGACAAAGAAATTGAAGAAAATTTATGATAAAATGAAATATCAATTGCTTAGTGTCTCTCTTCAGCATTACGCTCATTGACAAGGAAAAGTATGTCTTAGAGCCTTGATGACAACACTTAAGCGCCTGCTAAGCGAGGCGAAGCGCTTAACATGTTTTGAGCCTCGCTTCAGGGTTTAAGCGCGCCTTTGATAACACTGCTTACAGGAAAGGGGGAAAAAAGGATCCTTACCAGTTATTTTGTAAGCTTCATCTGCATATATCCTATTTTGAATATGAATAATCATAAAATTTCCTCTATATGTTCAGGTCCTCAATTTCCCTGGAGGCAAGGTCAAATTCACCTCACATTTGAACTTTATTCCTGAAACAAGGGAGGAGAGAGTATACTGCTACAGGGTCCTTGACGACGATGGTTATCCCATGACTAGCAATTTCGTACAGGTAATCTAAATATATATTTAAGCAAGCTTAAACTTTGCAATCAAGATTCAACAGAGGAATGTTTATATCTTATCGTTTGGCATTCATGTTGGTCAGATTGACAGGGAAGTTGCATTGAAAATGTATACTGATATGGTCACACTTCAAACAATGGATACAATCTTTTACGAAGCACAAAGACAAGGAAGAATATCTTTCTATGTAACCACACTTGGAGAAGAAGCTATCAACATTGCATCAGCTGCAGCACTTAGGATGGATGATTTCATCTTTCCACAGGTTAGTTGTCGAGCAGACAAACTTACATATAGCATGCAAAAGTTACATTTCATTTAACTAAAGATGTAAAAATTCGGATAACAAATATATGAAGTGTTGATTATACATTTCGTGCACCATATCCAATTGAGTTTCTTTGAATGACTTGAATCTAGGTTGAATTTTCATTTATTAGCATTCTAGCTCTCTTTCTTTCTTCTGGTACAAATCCTCAAATTTCTTTTCTCCAACATTAGTAGAAGTTTGTGCAAAGCAATAGGGATTCTGCTTACCGTATTAGTCAAGATCTTTACTTTCAGCCTAAAGGTGGTTTGCAAAATTCTAAACAAATTGGATAGATGTAACTTTTTCCCTTTGGGTCACCTGTTGAGATAGGCGTCGTTGACCAATAAACTCGACTTACTTTTCATTCACCGGGCGCATTTTGGAAGACATCTTTATTTGGTGACTTTCATATGTTGAACTTCAAATCTTCTCAAAAGAATGCCAAACTGATTTGAGATTGATTTTTATTGACTTTATGTGCTAAATAGCTTTTGTTACATCAATTTTGGATGATCATGAGATAAAATCACGTTTTAACTGATATCTTCAGATTTTCACATGTCCAATGATTTGACCAGTAATGTCAAGGATTTTCTTTTTTGTCATTGTAGTATAGGGAGCCTGGAGTTCTATTATGGAGAGGGTTTACTATTCAAGAATTTGCCAATCAGTTGTTTGGAAACAAAGGCGATTATGGAAAAGGAAGGCAGATGCCTATCCATTATGGATCTAATAAGCACAATTATATTACAGTTGCATCAACAGTAGCGTAAGATACTCATGCTTTGGTACTGATACTCTGAGATTTTCAAACATCTTTACTGTGATCCGTATGATGTAAATAATTGATGAAGAGTAGTGGTGATTTTGCTTCAGTACTCAGCTTCCACATGCTGTTGGTGCTGCCTACTCTCTGAAGATGGACGCGAAAGATGCATGTACAATTGTATATTTTGGAGATGGAGGCTCTAGTACGGTAAATGTTTCAAGTAACTTGTGGAAATCTGCACTACTGTCATAATGGTTGATTTTCAACAGTATATTCATCAACCTAGGATCCTCAGGGGCTAGGAATAACCTTAATAATCTAGCCAATATCATTTGCAGTACTATGCACATACTCAGATTTTGACAGATAGTGCTAAACTTTTGTTGCTGTTCATTCCCCCTAAATTCATTGGTGTCATTTCAGGGAGATTTCCATGCTGCTCTGAACTTTGCTGCGGTCTTAGACGCGCCTGTTATCTTTTTCTGTCGGAACAATGGTTTTGCAATAAGTACGCCTGTTTGTGACCAGTTTCGAAGTAGGTGCCTCCCTTGACTTCTCAGTTATGTCTTCAAAGGTTTTTGCAAAGCCATTAAAAAGCTTCACTAATTGTAAGGGTTATTTGAAGTTACCCTATCTGCTCAAATTTGGAGCAAGGGTAGATCTGGAATAAAATGATTAATGCATTCTTGATTTTTTGAAACAACACTATTTTGGACCAAATTTGAAAAGTTAAAAGGACATATAAAATGGATTGGGTAGTATCACTATTTTGTTATTGGCTACTGACAAGGGCATCTGTTTATGGTTACTTGTTAGGTGATGGTGTTGTTACCAGAGGAGAGGCCTATGGAATTCGTAGTATCCGTGTGGACGGTAACGATGCTCTTGCTGTTTTCACCGCTGTCCATGAGGCACGAAAGATGGCTGTTAATGAACATAAACCTGTTCTTATTGAGGTAACATTAATATTATTGCGAATATAACTAGTCTTTATATAGCTAAATCCAACTAATTTGGAATTGAGGCTTAGTTGATATCGAAAATCACCTATCTTATTTGCTACGCTAGTTTTGGAAGTGTTGTTAGGTGCTTCTATTTAGAGTTTTAACAGACATTTTGATGTTTCAACAGGCCCTTACCTATAGAGCAGGACATCATTCAACCTCAGATGACTCAACCAAATATCGTCCAGCTAACGAAATCGAATGGTGGAGAAGAGAAAGAGACCCTGTAACTAGATTCAGGAAATGGATTGAAAGACGAGGCTGCTGGAGTTCTGAGGCTGAGTCTGAACTTCGCAGTAATCTCAGGAAGCAGGTAATTTCTGCTCGAAGAGAAAAACTTGAAAGACTAATTTGTTGTTGCATGTATAGCTTTCTAAAGCAGAAAATTATCAAAGTATTCTAGACACGGATCATTGGTATATGCTAGTAGAAAATATGGATAACTTTTGGTGATAGGAAAACTAAGTTCTTGTAATATTAAACTGAGACGGGCTTAAATGGAGCGACATGGACAGTAAGGATTTCTTGTAGCCGATCATGACTTTGTTGTTGTTGGGTTGCAGAAAAGAGATCAAACAGTTTTTTTTTTATTTTTTAACTCGCTTTCAAATGTTGTGCTACAGGTATTGGAAGCCATTCAAGTTGCAGAAAGAGCGGAGAAGCTTCCAATTAAGGATGTATTTACAGATGTATATGATGTTCCTCCAGCAAACCTCCAAGAACAGGAAACATTTATTCGTGAAACAATCAGAAGACATCCGCAGGATTATCCTACTGATGTTCCTATCTAGTTGAAACTGCTTGTCTATTTTCCCTTTTAAAAAGTTATTCATTTTGGTGCTAAGTTATTATATGAAAATGTCATTGATTAGATTGATAGCTAATGTAACTAGCAAAGTTGTTTTTACTCAACTTTTTCATAATGAAAATGGTTGCTCTCAAGAGGGACCAATCTATGGAAGTAGCTGCCCACCCTACCGTTTTTAGCATGAAAAATACAACCGTTATTAGCCTCTTCACCCTTTTTTAGACCTATGAAAGTAGTAAAAACTTATGAATGATGAAACTGGGAAATTTGAAGAATAACATTAGATGAGTTCTTTACGAAAAACAACACAGACAAGAGTGGGTTGCTCTAGTAGTGAACACCCTCCACTTCCAACCAAGAGGTTATAAGTTCGAGAGTCACCCCAAGAGCAAGGTGGGGAGTTCTTGGAGGGAGGGAGCCGAGGGTCTATAAGAAACAGCCTCTCTATCCCAGGGTAGGGGTAAAGTCTGCGTACACACTACCTTCCCCAGACCCCACTAGTAGGATTATACCGGATTACATTAAGAAAAAATGGAAAATGAAATTCATCAAGCTGAGTTGATATAACAATCAAAGGGCTTAAGTAATATCAGAATGAAAGAAAACAGTTGAAAAATGAGCAGCTGCAGGTACCATTCTGTGCACAAAAGTTGTGTACATGTACACGAAGACAGCTGCAGTTTAAGCTTATTAGTTGAATCATTATTATAAGGACGAAGCTTTCTCGTTCAAAGACTCTTTAACAGCCTTTAGGAGAGCGGGCATCAGCTTCTGATTGGTAACGATAATGCCTTCGTGTAAATCAAGGTATCTTCCCCTGGAGAAGTCCAAAGGGTTTCCTGCAGCATCTGAGACTACACCTCCAGCTTCTGCAAATTAGATGACATATATCTTATGATTAGCAAAAAAAAGTGCTAGCTTAACCATTAAAAAAAGTGGCCTAAAAAGAATAAAGTACAATGTGTAGCAATAAAAATAATAAAGAAGAATTAACCTAAATACCCGCCCACCCAACCAAATAACCGTGTATAATCATGTATAATCTATATATATACCAGCTAGGAAAAGTATACAATGAATCCGGCCATCTATTTGTGTATAGATCCCGTAGATAAATATCAACCAATTTGGCCGATTCAAAGTAGCTATATTTGTCAGATCTTCCAATTTAGCCCATCCAAAGTAGCTCAATTTTATGAGATTTCGCATTCAAAAATTTCCTTTGTAATGTGACGAGTGTTGCCAAGTGAACCAGTGAGTGCAAATGTCCGTTTAAATGGAAAATCCGTGAGACCGCATGTCTGTATCTGCCTCATCAACTTCAAATGAAAACATAGTGGTAGAGTAACATAAACTGGGCAAGAGAGAATTCAAGGTATACAATCAGATGATCTGCCAAAAAAGGGAGACTGGGCGACCTGATCTCTCATGTGAATAAGGAGTTGGAACCTTGAGAGGGAGACTTCTGAACCTGAGATGCTCTGACAGGAGGACTGATAACAAGCATTAGAAGGTATATTTTGCTTCTATACTGCTGATATTAACAAGTGAAGAAAAGATCAATGTTTGAGTTCAAAAATTTGATAGATTTGGGATATTTTATGGTGCTACTAGGTCCGTTTGTTTCATTTCATTTTCCTGAGCATGAATATTGATGATAAGAGAGAACTCATTTCAAGTGAAGCGAAAAAGAGATACAAATTGAAAAACATAAATAACATAATATGGACCTGCAACGACAAGATATCCCGCTGCATGATCCCATATTTTCTCACGGTAGCCCTTATGAGGAAACCGCAGATATATTGCTCCATCTCCACGGGACAAAGCACCATACTTTGCCTGGCTGTCTATTCGAACTGGAGGCGCTCTGACACCAAGTTTCTGTTTACAGAAGAAGAATAAAGACCTTGTTTAGGCATACATATTACTAAGAGAACAAAAACAAAAAAGAGAACATTGAAAGAGAACTCATACCTTTGCTATCGAGCTAGATAGGTCATGCAAAGAATGTGCTGCTTCAAAAGATTCAAAAAAAGCTGCCTCTTCGGGATTGTCTAAATCAGTTACATGCACCTGAACACAGTAGAGCAACCTTTCAGCTGATAAGGTATACAGGATTTGAAGTAGATAGTTAAAATTACTAAATACTCAAACAGAAACCTTTATCGGTGTAGATCCATCAAGAGACTGCATGTAAGTTCCAGAACCAACTTGGGCATAAAAGAGGCAACCAACTTTTTCTTGGGGATCCTGTGGATTGTGGGAGGCCACAGAAGATAATGGAAGATTTGGACAGGCTAGGACGCCCAAAACCGCCTTCCCTTCATCTAGCAATGCCAATGCAATTGCATATTGGTCTCCCCTTACAAACCTGCAGAAAGATTAAGACCTTTTGAGAGGGCTCATAAATATGTTTTGTTTAATCAGATGTACTTTCCTGAAATTAAAGAAGCAAAAGTTCAGACGTAGACATAGTAAAAGTATCTACAAACATGTGATATAGAGAGTTTTATATCAACAAGAAGGTGGCACATCCCGGTTAGCGGTTGTGGTTGACTATAAGTGGTAATGGCATAAATTCACTGGGTAGCGTAAGCATATTTTGGCAATTTCAAAATCTACAAGCAACAGAAGTCATGGTATTAGGTGAGGGGAGAAGGAGAGCTACCACAAACTTAATTCTTATTTTGATTTGAAATAATTTACCCATTATAATGAGCTTAATTAGTCATATCATGAAATAAAAGATTTAACCTAGTGACTAGCTTATGCGACGACAGTTCTGTAAAGTATATTTCATATTAAAGACAACTAACCATACCATTTGAAAATCTGGTAAACTGCTATTAAGCTGAAATAAGATTAATTCAATTTCTCTACCTTTACTTTTGTATTTTGCTATTGCCCTTATTTTCTCCCATTATTCCAGTTCTACGCTAGTATTATGTACTTTCAATAGAATCACCAAGCAAATGAAATGCATTCTTAGATAGCAGGGAACACTAGCCAAACGTGGCTATGATATATGTACTGGATCAGTAGCCACTCTGATGGACAAACAATTAATGAAATCCAATGAGCTATAACAGCTGCAGCTATTCATACTCGAGATCAACCAGTCTCAAAACATATTTTGTTCCATCAATTTTTCAAGTGCCAAGATTCATTATAAGAACAGTGCTATTAAGATAGAAACAATTAACAGACAGATGTTGTTTTCCCCAAAGTACCATTTAGCACAACCAGGTAATGTTTCTCTTTTTTTTATTTAAAATAAAGATCAAGCCACCTTAATTTTAGTCATATTTTGGGAAGTCCTATATCATACTTTTGCATTGAGATTTACTGACTTGCAAACAAGGATAGTCCTTTTATTTATCTAGCAAAACCTGACTTGCAAAATCTTATTTCCACTCACCCTTTAGTACCATCAATAGGATCCAACACCCAATGCTGACCAGAAGGACCCCCTACAGATCTACCACTATCAATGGCAGCAAGAACATCTTCTTCAGATAATGGAGCATTACCATATGTTTCATCACTAGTAAGCGTTTCATTGACAAGCTTCATGATACGCTGTAATGTTTCTTTTCCCTCTTCTTTACGAAGGTCTCCAGAGTCCTAGAGAAACTTAGATTTAGAACTCCCATCCTTTAATTTGATGCAAAGAACATACACTTTCCACAAAAACGGGGAAATGAATATGCAGATGAATAATAAACGGCAAAGCAGAAATGAATTAGGGGAACAGGAAACATCACATAAAACAGAGGCAGACTAGTAATGACAACAACAATACTTTTCCTAAGACATCATAGCCGGTCAACTTTGTTTTGCTATGAGATCTCTGGGGTTTTCCCTTAAAAGATTTCATCAAATATTAGGAGTAAAGAAGCTAATCAAATTAAACGTATAGCTGGTTATGTTACAAGGAAAATGGACAAGAGGGAAAAGTAATAAAGGAGAGCCTTTCAACTGCCTAATTTCATGAAATGCTAAAAGATGATACCACGACCACCGTTCCACTACCAAATTGATTCATTCATATTGTGCCCCAGGAAAAACATGCAAGTCCATATATCAATTCATCACTTGGGTTGAGGCTGTGACCCAGAATAAATTGGGATATTTGACCTCCTGAGGTGCTGAGTGTGATTTCTGTCACTAAAATGAAGAAAGTCCAAGAAAAGAAACCTAGAATGCATCCTTTATTAGCTGAGAGAATTGTTAAGATTTCCGTTAGTCTGACAATATTTTCTGCCATCTATTCCTTCAAAAATAATACCTTGCCTCGAATTAGATTAGCTATGCACAAATCATTTTGTTGAAAGTGTACAACTTTTCAAAAATTCTTTCCAAGGTTTCATTTGAACGATATCTTAATGAATAAACGTCAAAGATAAACACAACATGGACTAAACAGCTAACTAAGGGTTCAAACATTACCTCCTCAGCCACTAATGAAAATGATGCAGAATCCAACTCTTTCTGCAAAACAACGCTAACCACGGCCTGTGAGCCTGATAATCAAATGTAAGCCAATTTCAAAAGGAGAGAATAAATTGCAGGGGCTACGTCAACATGATAACAAAAGCATAAGATGTATATTAGTTTCAGAACATCAGTTTCTTTCATGCAGCAATGAGAAGCATCTTGCTCCATCAGAAGGACAGGAAGGAGGTGGAACATAGAGAGAATGGAACCAAATGTCAAAGGAAATAGACTGGTCCCTGCATATTACATCTTTGTTCTCTCTTTTGAAATCTTTGCATTATCTTGGAAGCATGTTATATAAACATCAAAGAAAAAGATGTTCATAGTTGCAGGAAAGGACAAAATGAACATGCTAAAGATCTCAAGTCATTAAAAAGTATAACTGACTTTCTAATAGATAATACGTAAAACTTAGTTGAAGTTATCTAGTTATTAAACAAGCTTTTCCTGATAAGTACTAATAGTAAACTAAACAAGCTAGTACCAGTAAAAAGCCATACGACCATACATCTTTCTACCAAACAACTTGCTGTTTTCATATTCTAGTTTTAGTTGTATCTTTATAGAACTACACAACTGATCTAGCTAGAAAAGATGTTCAACCTTCTAACAGGTAGCAGCCTACCACCCTAATTTAGATATACATTCATCACCTATATATTTGCACAAAATCATCATATAAATGTACCAATACATCCTTAACAAAAAAAAAAAAAAAAAAAAAAAAAAAAAAAAATGTACCAATACATCAAAACTCCATCTTCGATAATTACAATTTAATCCGTTCTCAAAAAAAGTATAAATTTCGAGACTCCCAGGTAGACATCAGAGGAAGTTGGCTAAAAAACGATTTACTTACTTTCCCAATTTAACTATTCTAAATTGACTATGATAGTTGGAATCGTACATTTCGAGTACTTGATATCAAATTTTGCTTAATCTATTAGCCCTTTTGCAACTAAGCTTGATTACTTAATACTACATCTGCATTTTAACAAGTTCCTACAATCGCTTTTTGATTTTAACATTTAGGTAACATTTCATTTCAAAGATGGTCTATTAGACAACACAGATTAAATTTAAGCCACTTAAAGTGGAACAAGGGAGTAATAATTACAAGAATAATTGCGACCAACGTCCGAATGAAGGCCAACAGGTCCCCTCTCTTAACTATTTAATAATATTGGTCTTACAAAACCATTACAAGAAAGATGTCCCCACATCAGTCATTTTATAAAGCACATTTCCCATCAAAATCAACCAACTATACTGCATACATCATTTAATGGGCCAAAGATTATTGCTGAAGATAAGCTGAAGGATATGTATGCTCTCTCAAAATTGAGATAGTTATGTTAAATAGAAAAGAAAAATGTGTTCTCCAGATCAATCAGCATTTCACAAATAAAATGAGAATCAACAAGAGATGTGTTATTATACCATAATCAGCTACCGTCACAGGAGATTTGTCAGACTTCGATTGAACATCTGCTTGCAACAGTGCTTTTTGGACTTTCTGCAGAAAATAGAGGAAGAGGTGTTAGCTGACCGCATAAAGAAATTGAGGAATATGCCAGAAAAACAGATAGAACTGAAAAATTCAGAATCAATCCAGTTTAAACATAATATCAAATTAGAAATAGAGACCTTCTTCTCATGCANCCCCAAATAAATAGAAATTACAAAAAGCATGAAAGCATGCTGATTCCAGAAAGATATACAGCAGTTTTTAAGGTTTGATATTGTGCATTTTGAAGGCATAATATGGTAGTAAAATTGTACAGTTAAAAGGCTTCATGATAGGTAATGGTCTGGTAGCAGTTCAAAGACGTACAGGCTATAAGGTAATTAACAAGGACTTGTTCTTTCTTGAAGATTCAGAAAAAAGAAGAGGAAACAACATAAAAAAAAACATTCTAGGTCCATTTGCAGCAGAGCTTATGGAAAAAACTTTATTATGTGACTCCAACAAATTAGAAGGATTCCCATTGGGCCTATTTCCTTTCCTGAAACTATTTCAAACTAACCAGGAAAACGAGATACTCAAGTTACGAACCTTGTGGTAGACTCATGAAAAGAAATAATCTTGCTCGTTTCTAGCCAATTGGAACCTTAGATGATTCTAAACATTATAGAATTTCCCTGCTATAAAAGATGTTCAAGAAACAGAAAACCTACTGTAAAACACTCTTAATTAAGGTTATGGGTTCAAATCTACTATTTTTGCAATTTTAATGAATTTTTACATACAAATTTTTACTCGGCGTCGAAAGTTATGGGTTCAGTTGAATCCGTACATAGTATACTACATCCGCCTCTGCCTGTACTATAAACATCCCCCCATTCCTATACAAAGATGAAAGCTTTTCACTTTCTTGAAGATAAACTAAACTTGTTTACCATCCACACCATGCATTTCATCCGACTATTAATCCCTAGAACTCTCAATTCTTATGCATGCAACAGATGACCTAAGATATAAAACAAAATACCAATAATAATCTCATTACACAATTACCCAGCATATACTTTGAAATGGCAGGCTCTTGGGTAGTTCGGACCCATATCTGGTAAAAGTGATAGCCTGGTTGTCCCCACACGGCCACACCCCATATGTCTTTAGGTTTTGATTTGAGCACTCGTCTAACTACTAAGAAAGCTCGAGGGACCTTTCTTTCTGAGCTATTGGCTACCGGTCTTATTTCTCTTGGTCAGGTCTAAAGGTCTAAGGGGAAGACCTTTTCTTACTCTTCAACTTCCGGTAATTGTAACCTCTTTCTGTCGAAACAGAGTGAGTGCAAACCTTAAGGGGTCGTGATCAAGAAATGAATCAGGCATCGATCGTTCTAGCAGTAAGGGTGAGGTTTAGGTCAACTACAAAAAAAGATACAGTTCAATCAACGATTGCCTTTGGGCTACAAACTCCATATCAGGAAGGAGCGTTTAGCTCCCAAAACCAGCTTGCGTGGATGCAGCTCTTCGGAGCATAGATATATATGTAAGAACCCATTAAAATTCCAACAAATATTGGATTTGAAACCATAATTTTAAATGTCCAATAAGTTCAATGTCAAGAATCAAACTCATCAAGTTCAAATAGTAATCTGCCTCTGTCATTAATCACTAGGAATATTTATCAGAAAGAGAAATAACGATAGGATCTTTCTCCATTTCACATTCACATAAGCACCACTTCATAACAAAAATAAGCCTGAACTTACAATTCGAACACATTTAAAAACAACCTTCAAAAAAGAAGCTGAAATAATGAGCAGCAAAATTACTTGGCAAAGGCGAGCAGCGAGGGAAGCAGCTTTCTTAGCAGCAGCAAGTTGTTTATCGTAAGACATTGAAGAAGCTCTTAGGGTAAATTTAGATGCTTTGAGAGTGAGGGAAATAGAAAGGGAGAAAAGGGAATGGGGTTTAGTATTTTTTGTTAATGGCAGGGTTCGTGTTAAAGAATTTATAGTCCCAGAGGACACTGTGAAAGTAGCCATGTCCAATTCTTGGAGTTGGTGGCAAATGGCCAAATGGGGCTTAAGGCCTGTGTGTAAATTTTTATTATTTGCCAAAACTTAAAAGGAAAAAAAAAAAGAAATATATGAAAACTCCACTTACATGTACTTTTTTGTAAAAGGATAAAAATGAAAATATTTGCATACAAATTAACCTATCACTTTTTTAGGGGAAAAATTATTTACACCCCCAACTTTACTTTAAAAAATAAAAACTCCTCAATTTAGAACACACTCTTATCCTATAATATATATTTTGCTCTTCACATGTTAAATTATGTAAGACAAGGGCCGATAAGCAAGGGTAATATAGGTATTGTAAAAAGAAAATTGACATATGAGGAGGAGAATGTCCACGGTACAAACTTCAAAGTTAAGGAGAAAATTTGATTTTTAAAGCAAATTTGATTTTCATTTCCCACCCGCTATTGGATAAAATGGACAAATAGCCATTTTTTGCACTGCTAATTAGAAATTATTCATCACCACAAAACTAAATAGCATTTAGCCACTTTGTACTTTCTACAATTGAGAACTCAAATATAGAGTCATCGATTATATGGTTCAACAATTGAGAACTCAAGGATATAGAGTCATGAAATTTTTTGTTTTACAGCTGAGAATCCAAGTATACAGTTATAGACTTTGCGGTTTTACGATTGAGAACTCAAGAATAGAATCATAGATATTGTGATTCTACAATTGAGAACTCAAGAATAAAGTCATGGATATTGCGGTTCTACAATTGAGAGCTCAAGAATAGATTCATAAACTTTACGGTTCAATAATTGATAACTCAGAGATAAAATCATGGAGTTTGTGGTTCTATCAGGGGCGACCCAAGTGTCAAGCCACTAAAGCAAAGGATTTAGGCCCCTAAATTTTGAGGGCTCCAAATTTTTCTTTTATTTTTCTACTCGTATTTGTATTGAGACCCCGACTAATCTAGATTCGTACCGCGTAAGGCTTAGTAAAAAAGAGAACACGTTTTAACATGATTTTTTTAACTGTAGGACTCGAACCCAATATATTTAGTTAAGGTAAGTTAGATCAAATACATCTCACTACAATCTTTAAAGGAAGGGTCTAAATATATTGAGTATGTTAAAATAAAAAATAAAATATTTTATAAAAATTCAAGATAACTTTTAATTTAGTAGTGATGTAACCGTTTGAGCAAAAAATGCATAAAGAGAATCACTCCCCCTAAACCCTTGTCACGAATATAAAACTTTTCATTATTTAAATTCTATGAGTGACATTATTAGTGACGTATGTATATGAATTTGGTTCTATTATCTAAGATCAACAATATATTAGGAGAGACTAAATTATTTATAAAAGAAACTATTAACAACTGATGTTAGGCCAAAATTCTATATTTTTAGCACATTACTCGCCCTATATTTTGTTGGTTTAAGTGAGTTATTGTGCGATAATTGCGCTAAATTGTATTGTTCTATGTGTAGGAACATCGAAATGAATCATCGATGTTATGATCATTTTTTTTTCCTTCTGAAAGGCCCCAAATTAAAAATTGGCTTTAGGCCACTAATCTTCTTGGGCCGCCCCTGGGTTCTATAATTGAAAAATCAAAGATAGCGTCATGCATTTTGCGGTTATAGAATCGTAACTCAAGAATAGTGTCATGGAGTTTGTAGTTCTAAGATAGGGAACTCAAGGATAGCGTCATGGAATTCGTGGTTATATAATTAGAACTCGTTATAGAGTTCGAGGTTATACAATTAAGAACTCAAGGATAATGTTATGGAGTTCGGGGTCTTACAATTACAAACGCAAGGATAAAGTCATGGCATTCATGGTTATACATGGGAACTCAATGATAGCATCATGGAGTTCGTGGTTATACAATTGGGGACTCAAAAATACCGTCATAGAGTTCAAGGTTTTACAGTTAGGTTTTACAGTTGTAAACTCAAGGATAGAATCATGGAGTTCATGGTTATGATTGTATAATTGGGAGCTTAAGGGTATAGTCATGGAGTTTGTGTTCTATAATTAAGAACTCAATGACAAAGTCATGAAAATTTCAAAACTTTTAAAATAACACTAGGAAAAATCAAAGTAGATCTAATATAGGAACAGAAGAAAATGGAGAAATTCCAAGTATGAGTATACGCAGGTAGGGAGCGAAGGATTTTGAGGAGGATAACTCATTTTCAATAATAAGTTTGATACGTCCAAGGCAGCGCACACTTGAAAAAGATAAACACAAAATAAGATGAAAAAAAGATATTTTTATAAATAAAATTGTATTTAAGGTGAATGTCTATATTTTAGAAAGATTTTAGGATTTGTTACTTTGAGGCTAAGTCACTTTTTTCCTATAAATAGAGGGTTTTATTCCCCTGTAATTCATCCCAAATCAATAAGAATTTTCTTTCTACTTTTCTCTGTAATACTTTTCTTCTTCTTTTATTTTTTATATAACACGTTATCGGTACAAGACTCTAACCAATTGGGTAGAGGCATCTGTTTTGGTCACCAGACTTTGTGACACGTGCATAGTGCTCTACTTGTATATAATATTGAGCATAATGATTGAAAATTATTCCATAAACTTTCTTCAGGAATAAATTCTAGATTGAAGATAAGTATTTTACCTTATTTTTCTCTTCTAAACTCTTGAAATTTTATAATTTAATTTTAAATACAAGCAAAGACAACAAAGTTTGACTACAAATCGAATAGAGTTTGTAAGAAATTATAACCACTCGAAGTGGTAAAAATTCCTTGTCTTGTCATGATCAAATTCATGTTTGATTATGAGCACAAAAAGTGAAAACCCGCCCAATTGAATTTGCTTCATTCTCGTTTCCTTAAGAGAATGTGGTAGCAGTATGTGATAAGTGTGAAAGAAGAAAAAATTATTACCTTGAAGGTATAAATGGATGTGGATATAGCAAAAAATAAAATTATAATCGTCATCATTGTGGTAATGAGAACAATAAGGATTCTTAAAATAATTCCTCACTTTGTGAAAGTAATATTTGTCATCAATTTGACATGAGATTTTGTAAAGCACATATAGATGATTATGGTCCATTCATATTCTGAACGTGACAACATGTGATTTATGAATATATATTCATTCTTGGAAGAATATGAACGTGCTAGTGGTAGTGAATATACCACTGTAACGACCCGATCTGTCGTTTTGTGTAACTGTACCCCGTTTTCCCTTTTGATACTTCACACATGTATAATTTAGGCTTTCTGACTTATGAGGTCGATTGGTTTCTTCCAGAAAGGTTTCAGGTTGATTTAGACCCTTTGATTCTTGGCTTAAAGGCCTAGGTTGTTTATGTTGACCAATGGTTGACTTTTATACAAACGACCATGGAACGGTATTTTCATGGCTCTAATAGCTTCGTATCGTGATTTTGGACTTGGGCATATGCTCGAAATTAAATTCAGAAGTCCCTAGATTGATTTGTGTCATTTTACCGAAAATTGACAATTTGAGGTTTAAAAGTTTGACCGTAGGTTGAATTTTTAATATCGGGTTTGGAATTTGGTTTTGGAACTTGGAATAAGTCTGTTATGCTATTTAGATATTTTATGCAAAATTTGATATTATTTGGAGTTGATTTGATAGGATTTGGATATTTAGAAACAATTCTAGAAATTTTTGAAGTTTACTTTAAAATTCATGTGTTTTGGGGTCTGATTCGTAGTTCTAGATGTTATTTTTGTGCTTTGATCACGCGAGTTCGTATAATATTTTTAGACTTGTATGGATGTTTGGTTTCAGTCAGGAGGGTTCAGATGAGTTTCAGATGTGTCGCAGAATAATTTGAGTTGAAACAGGAATTCATGGTGTGCTTGTGCTCTAATGTCGCAATTGCGAGCACCAGCCTCGCAATTGCGACGATGACAAGGGGTCTGATGTCGCAATTACGACCAACACCATCGCATTTGTGAAGTCGGCCAGTTTCGTAATTGCGAAGCCTTTTGTCGCAAATACGACTTTTGTTGAGGTTGTCAGGGTTCACAAATGTGATCCCTGATTCGCAATTGGTCTCATTTCTCACACTTTAGAATCCTAGATTCGGTAGGCAGCGATTTATAGAGGGTATTTTCACCTACAAGCATGGGTAAGTGAGTTTAATCAATTTCAACTATATTCCATAAAAATATATTAGATTTAACATCAAATTCATGTGGATCAAAGAGGAAAAACTGGGAAATTTTGTCAAGGTTTTGAAAAATGAAAATTTGAGTTTTGAGAGTTGATTTGAACTCAAATTTAAAAACTAATCACATATATGGACTCGTGGAGTTATAGGTAGTCGTAATCTACCCTTATGAGCTATTCACTTTCATTTTGTCATTGTTGAGATTCTTGTACACATAGTGGTTGAGCCATGGGCTAATTGTTGTGGAAACATTGGTATTCCTGATTCTTTTGGCAAGTTGTGGATTATGGGCACTTGTGGTGCGAGTTGTGATTATATTGTGATATTGACACACATACAATGGTATAAGGATTGGGTTGTTACGCATGCGGTGTGATAAGGTGGGCTAAATGCGGTTAGCTATTTCGGAAAAATGATTTCCAAAACTAAATATAAGGCGCTCGTGGTGATATAAGCAAAAATTGTGATTGAAATTGAGAAATCTGAATACGAGGCGGTACCTCGGTTGTGATTCTTGTTGTGCACTTCATGTTGAAATGAGTTATTGGTTGAACAAATTCATGTTGCTTTTACTCTTTCTTGTCTTACTAGTTTTGCCCGTATTTGACTATTTGTGCTCCTCATTAATTGCTTCCTTCTTGTTATCTTATGCTTACCATTCTTTCAATAGTTTACGATATCAAATTGTTCCGTTATCATCCATTTTATTTGTTTGTATTACTTCTCGTTATTATATTTTATCTGTTTATCATGTCCTAGTAGGTGTCTTGACCTGGCCTCGTCATTACTCTACCGAGGTTAGGCTTGATACTTACTGGGTATCGTTGTGGTGTACTCATGCTATGCTTCTGCACATCGTTTTGTGC